GGTCAAAATTAACTTGAAGGCCAAACAGAAATATTTTAAGAGATGTAAAGAAAGAAAAAGTTCCAACAATTATAACAAAAAAATTCCATTGACAATAACTGAAAGGGGTATTATGAGGTGGGAGGGCAATAAAAGGCAATTATTTGTGGAATCTAAAGAAAGTATTCAGCTATGTTAGTAATATGGCACATTTAAGATTAGCAGTATTACAGATAAGGAATGGCAGATGTGTTAAATAGATTTTTCATATCAGTTTTCACAAAGTAAAACTGTTGTCAAATTACAGAGCTGGTCATTTTGACTTTGTTTTTGTGTAAACCAAGCAGGCTTTGGCGAGGTGGGTGTTAATCAAAAATAAAGCAAATGAAATTGTCTGTAACACGACTGGACGAGATGGGATATGCCCAGAATTCTCAATAGAATGAGAGGGAAAATGACAATTTTTGGTAAACATTGGAGCTGTACCTAAGACCTGGAGAAAGCAGGAACATGAAAGAGGTCATGAGCCATGAAACTGAAAATTGTAGGCCAGTTATCCTCATAATTATAGTGAGGAAAATGAGTCAGATTATTCACACAGGATGCTCAGCATGAGTTTAGAAGCCAGAGGTCAAGGATCACAAATTTCCTGGAATTATTCAAGGCAGTAAATGCATGATCAAGTAGATATGAATTATCAGAAAGCATTTGATAAAGTTCTGAGTGTGAGATGGATTACTGGCAAATCACCTAGCTGGACTGAAAATTGACTCAGCAGAAAGAAGCAGAAGATTACAATAAATGGAAAATGGTTTTGCCTGAGGCTACTCACTATAGCGGTGGAGTTCGACCACAATGTGTTCAAGTTCCACCGCTGTCCGTAATACTCATTATTAATAATAATAAACCTTGCTTTGATATATCAAGAGGATATATTTCACATCAAGAGGATGCCTCAAAGTGTTTCACATGATTTACTGTAAATGTAGTACGGTTATGACTATATTTCATAGGTGAATGATTTGGGGGAGGCTGTTACTTATCATTTAAAATTTATGGATCATACTAAACTATACAAGAGGAAATGAAAAGGAGTCCCAACGGCAAAGGTGGAGAAGAGAAAATACAAAGCTTACAGTCAATGTGCAGGTTTTTGCAACTAATAACAAACCAAAAAGAAGGTTATATCTCGAGCACATGTCAGTATTCTGGAAGTTAAAAGAAAAAAAGAAAATATTCTTAAGTCTGTGTAGATCATGAGAGAGATCATTTTTGGAACATGCTGTTCGAGACATTCTATCTTCAAAATGATTGTGGAGAGGAATCAAAGAGGAATAATAATAATCCTTGTATTTGTCATGCCACCCTTCACATTGGGAGGATGGACCAAAGGGTTCATCAGACTTACTGTGAAATGTGATGTGTTTTTTTTTGTAAGGGAACGCGGCAGCCAATTTGCGCACAGCAATGTCTCACAAATAGCCAAGAAGTGTGACTAATTTTATTTGGGGGATTGTTGGCCAAGACACCAGGAGAAACTCACTTCTCTTTTCAAATAGTGCCATGGGATCTTTAATATCCCCCCGAAGAGGCAGATGGGGCTAGATTTAACAAAGGAAAGTATCCCCAACATTGGACACACACCCAGACTGCATTGGAGTGTCAGCTTAGACTATATGATTTCCAAGTCCTGACTTGGCGCTTGAACCCACAAACTTCTGAGTCAGAGGTGAGAGTGCTACCAACTGAGCCAGGTTGAGTAACAACAGTTGGAACTCGCTTTACATGGAGTAACCTCTCAGAGCGCTTAAAGTAACAAGGAAGATTCCAGGAATTCGGATTTAGAAGTTATAGGAAAGGATGGGGAGCTGGAGTCCATGTTATGTAGATTGTAAATAATCTCTACATGTATTGCACTTAATTGTATCCTGATGTTCTTATAGAGTAGGTTCAGAGAAGCCTGAATGTTCAATTTCAATAAAATAATTATTTCCTGTAACCTCTTGATTCAGCAGAAAAGAACCCATGTTTTAGAGTCAAATATCAAATCAGACCAACAAATGTTTGATTTGATGTATTTGTTTAGATTCAATTATTTCACACAGTGAGTGGCGAATATGTGGAAAACACTACCTGGGAGTGCAGTGGAGGCAGATTGTGTCAGCAAATTCAAGAGGGAATCAGACAGCTATTTAATGAATTCAATCAAAGGACATGGGAGCGAGGGTAATGTAGGAATTTTTTGACATTGGAGCCAGTCCCATGGACCACAGTGGTCTTTTCCAATCCCGTACGTCCTAAGTTCCTATGATTGCTTCTATAAATATAAACTTGCTATCAGATGGTTATATTGCTAAATTAGGTTACATATTTTCAGTAATGTGCTGAGAGGAGATTTTGAGGAACCACATTTTTGTGTGATGCATCAAGCAGAAATTGTCTTCTGTCTCATGCTTTCCCTGATCATGACACAATGATTTGTATCTTCTCAGAATATTGGTTCAATATTTTTTATTAAATAGTTTTTATTTGAAAAATCTATGAAGTTCTCCATGTTATGGCATAAATTGTGTGAGTGAGCTGTCGAACGGATTATAGGGGAAAAAAACTCAAATGTATTCTAATTGAAAAACCAGTTACCTAGGGTGAAACGCACCTCTTTTTGTAGCCAAATATTCTTTCCCATCAAGACAGCTGTACAATGAAAGTTATCTAGTATCAAAGTGCAATCATTACTGTTGTATTTTCAATTATCTTTTATAATGAAGTTTTCCTCTGCTTTCATTAGTAATTCATTTCATTATTGAGCGTACTCGTTTTGAAAGATATGAAGAGGAAACGGACTGAATACGGAAGAATAAGAGGATTTAAACACATGACATTGTTTGATGGAAAAAAAGTCATTTATTTGTCATCCTTAATTCAAAGCAAAGTAGAAAGTTTTTAGATGATTTTGTGCAGCATTTTATTTTTTCCCTATAGCTATTCAGTAACTGCCCACAATACCTCTGTTTGACTGCAAGAATTGTAATCAATTTTGTATTTTAATATCTTAATGGGCAGAAAAAGTTATATTTGGCTGTTGTAAACCGATGGAATTTGGTCTAAATTATGAGCCGTATTATAGAAAAATGACTCGTCTATATATAATATGGCCTTTAAGACAGATGGACAGCACATATGATATAATTGCATTCAGGTAAATGTTTTGGTGTGTATGTCGTTATGTAGTTACTTCTTAAAATTGCTTAATAGAAAGATAAATGCATCCAAAGAGCTGATGATTATTTTAAGCAAAATTATTTTTCCCAAGAAAAATCAATACTCTTCACTTTCTTGTTTTAAAATTTTGTTTTTGGAAAGTTTTTATTCAGTTTTACTCTGAGAAATGTGTCACATTTAAATGAATCTTTTCTAAGAATGTTAACCCAATCAAAATCCTTTGCATGATAAGTGGCAGTAGATAAAATAATAGTTCATTGAACAGACCCTATCATGTCCATTTGTGGAGTACTGTAGCTCAGTGGTTAGAGCACTCGCTTTGCAAGCGAGAGACCTGAGTTCAATTCCAGGCAGGGCGAAACCTTGGGCAAGTTTCCTTACTCCACACACCTAATAATAATCCCTCCAAAACCAAAAACAATAATAAATTGGTCATTTTTAATCTACGACTGTTTGTGGGACATTGCTGTGCGCAGTTGGCTGCCGCGTTCGCCCACAAATATACAGTCAATTCACTTTACAGTGTGTTCTGTGAAGCGCTTTGGGACGTCCTCCCGACGTGAAAAGCGCTATATCAAATGCAAGGTTTAAATTTAAATTTAAATTATATCAGTTTAATGTTTTGGCTAAGATAATATTTGTAATACTCATAATATCTGTCGTGAGAAGATAAAAACTTTATTCACAATAGGTTTGGAGTCAGAAGATTGTGGGTTCAAACCCCAGGTTGGGACTTTGGCCTTATTGTTTAGGCTGACACTCCAGTGCAGTGATGGGGGAAAGCTGCAATGTTGAAGTGTTGTCCTTAGGATGAGATGTTAAAATTAGGTCCCATCTGCCTGTTCAGGTGTATGTTAAATGAAGTATTTGAAAAGAGAAGGAAGTTTTTCTAGGTTTCCTTACCACCAATCCTCCATTTTGTGAACCGCTGTGTTTACCTGTGAATACACAGTGACTATCCTGACCTTTAAAATTCTGTGATGCCCATGACATTCTTTGACAATGCAATAAGGTGTCAAATGGAATGATTATTTATTGATATTATTTACCCGCTGTGTAAAGAAATCTTTCCTGATATCTGTCCTGAAATTGCCCTCGGTGATCCTAAGTCTTTACCCACTTGTCCTGCAGTTTGAACTCAGCCATAGATACTTGATCTTATTTTGTGTACTTTACCGTTTGTATTGCGAGTAAATAGGAGAGTCCCTTTGTTACTGAAAAAATACAAATGTTTCCTTGATATTAGGTCACTATTTAAATACAGATGTGCAGAGAGTCCATTTTAGCCTGAGCACAATGTCTGATGTGGAGGAATTGGTACAATTTGGTATTGCCACTTTCAAAGCTGTTTCAATATCATAACCAGTAGCTGCAGTGCAACCAGAGCATCCAATAGTTGATAAAAGTAGAACTGGATATGATGTTAAGTGGATTTCTAACTTGTGTAATCAAGGTAGCACAATATGTGTGATAGCACTCACTTTGAGGTAAAATATGTTACAAAATTGATCATGTTGTAGTATAGTTTAGTGTAAAGGCTCTTGGCCTCTTCAACAACAACAACAAAAGCAATAACTTGTATTTATATAGTGCCCCTCACGCACGGTAGCATCCCAGAGCGCTTCTAACCCTTGCTTGAGTCCTGTTGTCTGATGCCCGAACCTTGATATTTGTTAGAAAATCTGCCCTCTCATGCATAAATACATATATACATGTCATTGTTTCTGCTATTGATATTGATTGATCTGATTTCTTCTGTATTCTGTGTCAATTGAATTTTGTGCTCCATTTTCTTCCAGCAAACTCTATTAAATTGGAAGCCCCAAGTGATGAAGAGAATGGGAGAGCCGGTGATGCCAATGGTGAAGAGTGTGCTGAAGATCTACGCATGATAGATACTTCTGGGACTAATATGAATGGACCTCACAATGGCCAAGACCACAAAACGTTTTCTGGAGTTGGGGGCATTCGACTTCCAAATGGCAAGCTGAAGTGTGATATCTGTGGAATAATTTGCATTGGGCCAAATGTCCTCATGGTGCACAAACGTAGCCACACTGGTAAAAACAGGCATCGCTTTTTTCTGTTTTTTACCTTCATCACTTTCATTCGGATTTTACTATGCCACATTTTTGCATGCTACTTGCCCCCCTCCCACTCCCAGCACCCTTGAAGAAAATTATCATAACCAGAATAGTAAAGCGCTTCAGATTTTAAATGAGAATGTGATGCCGAGATTAAAGTGAGAGCCTGAAAATGCATTTTTAATAAGTTTCCTTTTTTTTATTGTTCATTTCAATTTCTTTTTTTTCTAAGAAACAGTGAAAAAGCCACATTAAAAAAAACACAGAATGCCACAACATTAAAAAAAAACCATATCTGTTTATTCTGAAACTGCTGATCAGGAAGAGTGGCTCTTAACACACAATGATGCCGGCACTCTATTTAAATGAGTTTGAATCTTCATTGTGATGTGCCATTTTGATTTTAGAAAAAATTAGATTTTTCAGATCAAATTGACCTAGTCACTGAAGCATAGAGAAACTGGCAGGTTTAGTCTGAAAGGCTCATGTTATATCAAACTTGCAGCTGGCAGGAATAACACAACAGTAGAAAAGATGCATCCTTTTCTAAAATTCCACACTTAATATATTGAGGGGTTTTCTTCTAACAAATATACTCTGTCTTGCAGGGGAGCGTCCCTTCCAATGCAATCAGTGCGGTGCATCTTTCACTCAAAAAGGCAATCTACTTCGCCATATTAAGTTGCACTCTGGAGAGAAACCTTTCAAGTGCCATCTTTGCAACTATGCTTGCCGGCGTCGAGATGCACTCACAGGCCATCTACGCACTCATTCCGGTGGGTATTCCGCTCAACAACTTTATGAACTCAGCTATTAACCGAATGGTGCAGAAGAGACAGATTTACAAAATATGGGTTGTGCTTGTTTGCGCCTGTATGTATGGGTAATTTGTTGATGGTTGTAAGAAGGTGAGTTAATTAGGGTGCATTTTCTAAAAAATACTATAAGTAATATATTTATTTAAATTTTCAGTTTACACCTAGAAAAAGTACCTTGATAATGTTCCACAACTCACTTTCTTTGGTCATCCAGCTGTCTGACACATGTGATGTGGAAACCCATCAACGTTCTTTTAAGAATATCCAAACCAAAATGAGAGTTCCGCCTACACATGGAAATTCACGTGGATCGGAATGGAATTCGCAGCCTATCCTTACCTAGTTCTGGAAAGTATTAGGCGCAGGCTGACCAGAGCCAAGGCCTGGGACCCCAGAGTGTATTGGGGGGACTACTGGCGACTAACCAGCTAAAACTGCATAGCTTGCCATTGATATCAAGCTTTCCCACCTCTTGTCCAGCTAGGACTGCCCTACCCATTAGGGCTTTGGCTTGTAGGGTTAACAGGATTGTTTGTGGAGCACAGTGTTTATCATACAATGTGTAGATGCAATGGTTGCCAGCAATCATAATTAGTATTCAGCAATAAAATTCAGCAATATTTCACTTTTTAGATATTCGATGCTGGATGGTTTGAATCCTACAAAAGGATTTTTTGATGAACCACTATTTTTCATCTTAGTGGAAGTGACTGGTGGAAAGCATAATACTGATGGTCTGAATTAGCTGCACTATTATGGAAAGTGATTAGACTGGGAAAGAAAGTTTTCTTACAATTATTTAATTTTACTTTTTCCCTATAAAGTAACAACTAACAAAGTCCTTAAGACATAAAATTACTCTTGCCATTGGTGGCTTTGACAAAGTATGACAAAGTGGGCTTATAGCAGGAAAATCACTTTATAGATTCAAATCAGCAAAACCACTGGGCCTATACCAAGTTTATACTGCTATTTTATCTCCGGAGACAAGCATGTGTTGACAGGGAACTAATAATGTGCAATGATTAGTCTTTTCAGTTCTGTATCCATCCAGATACAACTTTCGGTCAGATCTCCTGTCCCTTTGCATACAGAAGATCTGATGAGAAGTCAAGTGTCTGGGCAAGTAGGCCTGGTGGCATTCCACACTTGTATAGACAGTTTCATGTAAGTGGAGAAATGTAAATGTGATATCAGTGTCAAGAGGAATTTCTCACCCGAAGTGAAAAAAAGTCTCGTTGGTTTGGAAATCTCTGACAGTAATACACAGATGTACTTGGACTCTGGGGATGCTTTTCTAATTTACTTCCCTGTTTTGTTAACACTTTTCTTTTTGTCCTTAACTTCCTCCCCAAAACATAGTCCACATCCCTGAGCAAATAATACATCAGGCATCATTGCTTATATGCACGCTATATCTAATCACTTCAGAAAGTGCTTCTCCCACTATTCCAATTGGGAAATAACTTTTCATCCACCCGCCCAAAAATATTTTCTCCCCAACAGTTGAGTATCACAGTTGTGAACCTGCATCTTACTACTCTGAAACATGGTGGATCAAAACTCGACTGGGTTGACCTAGTATTAGTCATTTGTGAAATCTATAAACCTTTGTTGAGGCTTCCACTGTCATACTGTTCCATGCAGAACTGTTGTCCTTTTATTACTGTCAAGTACATTGATTTAAAAATCATATTAAAATAAGCCACTTCAATGGAGGTAGTTTCATTGGTGAACTTAAGCAGTGTTCCAAATTCAATGCACATTGAAGCTTCCTTATACAGTATCTAGTTACTGGTGTGAGGCTAGTTACCCTTGAACCTGTAATGTACATTTGTAACCAGATTAAAATATGTGCAGTTAGATTGTATTTTCCACGCAAAGTGCATGCTCCAGTTTCCTCTGGATCTCGACCTAGTGGTCTAAGGCTAAGTTCCGGTTAATGCGGCTTTAACATTTTGTGGATTTTAGACATCATTCACTTTAAGACATTTTGTTTTGGGTCCCAGTAAAAAGACAGATTAATTAAGGGATGTGGAAAAGGGATGTGGAAAATGTTTTGAGCCACAGTTCAAGCTGAATTTCAGTTGTTCCTTAGTTTTCTTCCACTGTGTGATTCAGTGCGTGAGTAGAACCAGTGAAGGGAGTAATGATCTCAGTGTAACCAATATTGTTTTTTAACCTATTTATTCTGTGTTTAGGAATAGCTGTTCATAATAATAATACATTTTACTAAGTTTCTGCCCTCCAGCAGTTCAAGTGAATGCCTAACTCCTTGGATAGGCAGTTTTTAAACAGTGTCTTTAACTTTTCAACTCACTTACTGGAATAATTCATATAGTTACAGGAATGGTGCTATTAGAGTGTGTGGAGCATGCATATTATTATACACATTGACTATACACTAAAGAAATAAACACTTTGAAATATATGGGAGCTAACAAGCGGTGGCAGAAACAAATCCAACATCAATAAAGAATTGCAAAAAAAGTTGTTAGTTCTTAAGTGATCTGTTCTTGTTTTGTGCAGTTGGAAAACCTCACAAATGTGGCTATTGTGGAAGAAGCTACAAGCAGCGCAGCTCACTCGAAGAACACAAAGAGCGTTGCCACAATTACTTGCAAAGCATGGGCCTGCACAGTGGCATCTATCCAGGTACATAAATAGTTATGAACACTTCGCGGATTTCTGAGTTGTAATCCACAACCCCCAATAAATGTTACTGAATGAAGAAGGGATGGCTGGAGGAGTATAAAGAAATTAATTGTCCTTACTTTTGATATCTCCTATTGCCATGGAAACCCACAATTGTGCAAAATTCTAGCAGACAAATGGTTAAGGGATTTATTTGTTTTGTTTTGCGCTGATTTAGCAGAGTAGAAATATCCGTGAACAACACTAAATGGCGATAGCTCCATCCATCAAGGAAGCAATCACATATGGGAATATGAGAGGCCCTCCAAATAGGTTGTTAGGAAGTAACAAGAATCATTATAATAATCCTTGAATTTGGTACAACGCCTTTCACATCAGTAGGACATGAAATGAGTTTCTCTCAGTATCCTGGCTGACATCAGGATTTACAGGATTTACTGTAAAGTGCAGTGACTGTATTTTGTAGATGAACATGGCGGCCGGTTTGCACACAGTAATGTACAACAAACATACAGCCGTGAAGTGGATAACTAATTGTATTTGGGCGACTATTGGCCAAGGACATTGGGAGAAACTACATTCTCTTTTTAATTAGTTTCACGGGGCCTTTAATGTCCATCTGAACAGGCATCTGAAAGCTCACCACAGGACGTCTCATCCAAAGCACGGCACCTGCAACAAAACGGTGCTTCCATAGTACATTTGTATAGCGCTTTTCACGTCGGGACGACCCATATAAGTACAAATTCCAATATAGTGTTTGAACCCATAACCCTCTGAATTCACTCCGCGGTCACTTCCCCTCCAACATCCACCCACTCCTCAACCCCTCCCTCCCACACTCTGACTCCTACCCATCCTCCCCTACACACTTTCGTACCCGTTTCCCCACCCTCTGTCACCAAACGCATCCTATCCCTGAAACCCACCACCTGCTCCCTTGACCCCATCCCCACTCCACTCCTTATCTCCCAGCTCCACCTCCTTGCCCCACATATCACAGACATCATCAACCTGTCCCTCTCCTCTGGCTCTGTTCCCATTCCCTTAAAAACTGCCACCGTCACTCCCACCTTGAAAAAACACTCCCTTGATGCGTCGCAGCTATCAAGCTACCGGCCCATCTCCAACCTCCCCTTCCTGTCCAAGGTCCTCGAACGAGTTGTCGCCTCCCAACTGCGCTCTTTCCTCTCCACCCATTCATTATTCGAACCCCTTCAGTCGGGTTTCCGTGCTGCCCATAGCACAGAAACTGCCCTGGTCAAGGTCACCAATGACATCCTGACCATCTGTGACCAGGGCTCCCTCTGCCTCCTCGTCCTCCTCGACCTATCAGCAGCATTCGATACGGTCGACCATGCTATCCTCCTCCACCGCTTGTCCTCCCACCTCAACCTTCAAGGCCCTGTCCTTGAGTGGTTTAGGTCGTACCTCTCCCACCGTCTTCACTTTGTTTCCACGAATGGCTTTTCCTCCACCCCCCGCACTGTCTCGTGCGGTGTCCCTCAGGGCTCTGTCCTCGGTCCCCTCCTCTTCACCCTCTATATGCTCCCCCTGTGGTGACATCATCCGCAGACATGGAGTTAACTTCCACATGTATGCGGATGACACCCAACTCTACCTTTCCTCCTCTACCCTCAACTCCACGACCACCGATGTCCTGACAGCTGCCTGTCCGACATCGAGTCCTGGACGAGAGACAACTTTCTTCAGCTCAACGTGCGCAAAACTGAGGCCCTCCTGATTGGCTCACGTCAGCGCCTCCGCACCTCAGGCGCTGACACCATCAGCATCCAAGGCTGCACTCTCCACCTCTCAAAGCCAATCAGGAACCTTGGGGTTCTGTTCGACCCTGAGCTGTCCTTTCTCCCTCACATCCGCACCACAACTGGCACCGCCTTCCATCACCTCCGAAACATCGCCAGACTACGGCACTACCTCACCCCTCACGCTGCTGAAACTCTGGTCCACGCCTTTACCACCTCAAGGCTGGACTATGGGAACTCTCTCCTCGCCGGCCTTCCCGGCACCTCCCTCCACAAGCTGCAGGTCATTCAGCACTCAGCTCGTGTACTGTTCCGCACCAGGCTTCGTGACCACATCACTCCCACCCTCGCTCGCCTCCACTGGCTCCCCATCCCCCAGAGGATCGAATTCAAGATCCTCATCCTCACCTACAAGGCCATTCACGGCCTTGCTCCCTCCTACCTCTCTGACCTACTATCCCCCTACCTACCTGCCCGTACCCCCCGTTCCTCTGGCTCCGGTCTGCTCCACATCCCCCGCCCCAAACGCCCTACCATTGGTGGCCGGGCCTTCAGCCTCTCAGCCCCGAGGCTCTGGAACTCCATCCCCCAGTGCCTTCGCCGCCTCCTCCCTTTCCTCCTTCAAGGCCGGTCTCAAGACCTTTCTCTTTGACCGTGCCTTCAGCTCCTCTCTTGACTCTCTACCCCCTCCTCGATCCCTCCCTTCCCTCCCCTCACCCTGACCATTTCCCCCCAATGCTCGGGTCCTGACCCAACTGTACAGCGCCTTGGGACGTCCTCCCGACGTGAAAGGCGCTCTATAAATGGAATCTTGTTGTTGTTGTTGACTCAGAGGTGACTGTGTCACCAACTGAGCCAGGCTGACCTTAGCAACCTTAGCGTGGAGAAGGTATTTGGCAAGGCTGGATTTATTAATGAAAACCAAGGATCTAGCTCCTAGAGAATGTGCATGTGCAGTGTCCTTTAACTCTCACACTCCGAAGCCAAGCAACACAAAATCTACATCCCCCACCATGTCAATTTTTAAAAATGTTACAGTCAGATACGGTAATTTCAGGCTTTTTTGAAAAGAGAAGGAAACAATGTGAAGTCCTACTGATGGGAAAATCGATATCCCATAAGGATTATTATTAATATAAAATCGTAAAGCCTGTTAATGTACAGAGCATATGAAATATTTTTGGTGATAAACAATGATAGATCATAATACATAGTTAGGCAATGCTAAAAGGTACGCTATAGTATAGTTCAAAAAGCCTTGATCACATTTCAATATCATGCAATATTGTGAGACCTTCGGTACTTTAAGACATTGTGACATACTCAAAGACATGATTAGAGAGAAAGGTGAAATCAGAAGACAGAATATAGCTGCCATTATAAATGTAGACATGTGACAGATTTCACGTGTATAAAAGTCCAGTAACGGATGGGTGAGAAGGGGCATTTAATAATAATAACAACACTTGCATTTGAAATAGTATTTAATCACATCATTGAGACACCACAAAGCATGTCACAAGATGTTATTACAAAGTGTAGTGACTGTGTATATGTAGGCAAATGCAGCAGCCAATTTGCCCACAGCATTGTCCCACAAACAGCCATGAAGTGAATGGCCAATTTGTCCATTTCAGTAATGTACAGTGTAGTGTGTAAGTGTTAGCCCCCATGGGATGATATTGCAGGGAGTCCCTTCAGGATCGACTCTTATTTACATGAATGTGCAATAGCCTTTTCAAAACATAGTTCTGTTGATTTGTTCCTTATGAACACAATCATAGCTTCAGCTGGGCTGGAAAAAAGTACAACTCCTGCCACCTGCCCAAGCTGACCAGAGCACCTGCCTCTGCTCATACAGAAATGTTGAGCTGCTTGATGCAGTAGGTGATGGTATCAGGGTGTTAAAAGAGGGGAACAAAGCTGCCCAAGTCACCATCTGACCCGTGAAAGTTGTCACACTTAAGAGGGTCAGCAACAATAAACTGATATCCTGGTGGATAAGTGCCATTTCCAACAGTAGCACCTTGATCAGCCTGCAGATGTTGAAGTACATTCAGCCTCACTCCACATGTCCAACATAACACGGGACAAGTCAGGACAGGAGTTGCAATAAATTGTTTTCATCCAGCAAACTTGCACTCAGTTTTCAGATCCCATGCTTGCAGTTATTGTATCCATAAAATATAGTTAACGATAAAATATGGACAAACAAGATCTGAGGGAGGGATGGGCCTGTCATAGTGTCGGACAGCAGTTGTTCGAATTGCAACTTTTGTAATATAGATTTTTTCAAAACCTCGGCTGCCATTTCATCTATTTCAGCTTGCCATCTCAAAGTTCTTTTTCCTTTTGTATCGGTAGAGTTTCACATGAATTCCAGGCGTATGGTTAAGATTGGGGGATCTCGGTTTAACTTCTCATCCAAAAGGCTGCACCTCCGACAATGCATCGCACCCGCACACTGCAATGGTACTGGCATGTGCATCTGCAGTGTTGTCCTCGAAGAGACGTGCATTTATGGAAATGTTGGAAACCGTACTTTCAGTCTTAAACCACTTCCTGTCCTGCCTTGTCCCAGTTTATGTTGGACATGAGGCTGACTGTACCTCATCGTGCACCTATTGTGAATTCTGTCAAAAGTGATAAGTTTAGCCCATCTTAGAAGTTATGATTTGTGATTGTTTTATGGATTAGCCGTAAAAACAAGACTTGCTTGAGTAAAAGGGTCATAATTTGGATATTGTTTTTCCACCTGAAAAGTACATCACAGAATAAAAGGCACACATGTACTCACCAAATTCAGCCTATTGTCCCTCTACTGTCACAAGGGAATTTTGAGTCTAATGTTGGGTGTCTGCTTACATCTTGTGCTGCTCCAGTGACGTAGATACAGAGGTAAAGGTGTCCAGGAGTAGTGGCATTCATGTCTTGGAGACTGAAAGGTGACTGTGGAAGCAGCCAAGGTGGATGGGAAATACCTATAACAACAACAAATTATACTTGTATAGTGCCTTTCACGTCGGGAGGACACAGTAACAGCAGTATATGTAACGTAACAGCATGGAAATGTGCTTTTAAAACTAAGATATGCCCTTGCAGGTTGGAGATATCTTGTTGAAATTGTTAAACAGCAGCAAGGTAACATTTGAGGCCATGCTCACTGTGAATTCTTGATCGTTTGGGAGAAGGCAGTCCACTAAATTAAGGTCATCTCAACTGCTCTTGGTAGTGGTTAGATTTACAGCTACAAGAGCACATTACATGCTTACTCCATTGACCGGTGAATGATGTTAGTAAAGAGAGAGGGGATAAAGTAACAGAATCTGAAAGGTAACGTGTGCAAGTCAAGCTTCTTGCACTCTTGCAGAGCTGCCTTTTTTTATCACGTAATGCAAATAGTCTGAATGAAAATATAGTTGAAGCCCAGGAACTAAATGTGAACAAAGTTCAAGCTGACACTCCAATGCAGGGCTGGTAGGGAAGTTGCACTATTGGAGGAGCGGTCCTTTGGATGAGGCATTAAACCAAGGTCCCCGTTAAAGATTCCATGGCACTATTCAAAAAGAGAAGGGAGTTTTTCCCAGTGTCCTGGGCAACAAAGCCCCACCACCCAAAAAAATATTGCTTTCAATTTTTAAAAAAAGGTCATTTATTTTGTGGCTGTTTGTGGGACAGTGCTGTTTGTGGAGTCCTGTAACTCAGTGGTTAGAGCACTCGCCTCACAAGCGAGAGACCTGGGTTTGATTCCTGGCAGGCCAAAATGTTAGGTACGTTTCCTTACTTTCAATTTGCAGTGCTGTTTGTGGAGTCCTGTAGCTCAGTGGTTAAACCTAAGTTCAATTCCAGGCAGGGCGAAACCTTGGGCAAGTTTCCTTACTCCACACAGAGCCTAATAATAATCCCTCCAAAAAACCAAAAACAATAATAAATTGGTCATTTTCAATCTACGACTGTTTGTGGGACATTGCTGTGCGCAATTGGCTGCCGCGTTCGCCCACAAATATACAGTCAATTCACTTTACAGTGTGTTCTGTGAAGCGCTTTGGGACGTCCTCCCGACGTGAAAAGCACTATATCAAATGCAAGGATTATTATTATTATTATTATTATTATTATATTATTCCACACGTCTCTGTTTACCTATCAATAAATAGGAACACGGATGTTAGTCGATTGGCGAATAACTTTTCCACCTTCAAAATTCCTTCAAAAAAAATAATAATAAATTGGTCACTTCATTCCACTCCTGTTTGAGGAACGCTGCTGTGCACAATTGGCTGCTGCGTTTTGCACATAAAATACACAGTCAATTCACTTTACAGTATATTCTGTGAAGCGCTTTGAGACGTCTAGAAGACATGATAAGGCGCTATATCAAATACAAGGATTGTTGTTGTTATTATGATTATTATTATTCTATAGACAAATAGCTATCATCTAAAAATGCTCTGTTACAGTTCAGGCTTGAAGCTTTAATTCCAAGCCATGAACTGATCTGAAGCCCATCATGGAGAGGTCACAAGGATCACTCACTTTACACACTTTCCTTAGAAATGCTGTAAAGAGCTTTGTCTTTATAGAGCAGTTTGACCTATAATCAAAAGCATGTGTAGATGAGGACCTTACAACACTTGAACAGAATGCCTTTAACATAGGATGAATAATTCAATGCACTTCACAAAGATGATGGCGATCATGATCAGGGAGGCAAGAAGGAGGACTTTGAGGGTGCTAATCAAACACACGGTCAAAGAGATTAGTTATTAACACAGTAATGAAAGAAGTAGAAGGCGCAAGACAAAGGGATTTTGGGAGCGAGCCATAGCGGATTCAAATCCATCCCTTTGAAATCTTCTTAAAACTTATTCTCCTCTCCATACCCTCCTTTATTCTGACTCTAGGCTCAATTCTGACTCTAGGATTGATTCTGACATTCCATTGCCAAGCACCTTGGAGCCAGTTCATCACCAAGGAGACCCGCTTATCTACCCCACTTCCCCCTCCAAGAAGGATAGTCACTAGTTAGTCATTTGACATCCGACAGGCACAGGTTTGAGTCCTGACTAAGTGGATGGTAGGTACCAAGAACTCTATGAGCTTCCTGGTCAGCTGTGCAGCTCAGCATGAAATTACCTTTACTGATGATGTGCTTTGACTGGTACCATAACCAATACATTTTAACACTGTAGACTCCCAGCTAATTATAATACAGTAGTAGCAATAATTCTACAGAGACAACTCAAAAATTACTTCACTAATGCTGTAGTTACCTGGACAAGCAAGATTAGTTATGGTAAACGGTGCACAAATCCACTCATTAATAGGAACGTCTAGGTAAGGAGCTACCAGTTGGATTAAGAAAACCAAAGCAGTGGAACTGATGGACTAATTAGAATAATTAGCATTGAAACTGACAGATTAGTTTGAGCGTCAGTCACTACTAGCTTCACCTCACTATTTCTCAATGGATTTGCTTTTTTCTTTTTTTTATATAGTGAAAGAAGAAAGCAAACCACATGAACTAACTGAAGGAGTGGGCAAGATGGGATCAGAGAGAGCTATGGTACTGGACAGACTAGCAAGTAATGTTGCCAAGCGCAAAAGTTCAATGCCACAGAAGTTTGTTGGTAAGCATGACATGTTTGTTCACAGTAACCTTTCGTCTACTGTTTGTGGCATTCAAGATGCTGTGCAGCATTGTTTGTTTGTACCAATGAAAGTGTCTATTAGAACATATAAATACCAGTTCTATTTGGCAACATCATACCACTGAGTTTTATTCTTCAATTTGAGTTTCTGAATAAAATGCTAACAATCTTTATTTCAAAATGCTTTAGGTAGCTCTTTAAGGCTTTAAAACACTTTTGGGGCTTTTTTACTTGTTGTTAGAAGCAAAATATGCTGACACTTATCTTAGTAAATATCCCGTGAGCAAGGAGAACCACATAGGAAAATGCTTTGTGAAAAGGGAGCAGCAAAACAGGAAGAGAGTCTAAATGGGGAAGGATATGTTATAAAATAGTAATAGGGGAGAAAACACACCAACAAAACTGGAATACATTTAAAAAGGGAATCTCAACATTAGCTAGATTAAAGAACCCCTTTTTAAAAATCAGGCATTTATATAATATTAGCTGTAGCCATTGCAGCTTCGCTTGCAACCAAAGGATCCATTATGGAAGGTAGATTGACACACAGACAGACATTTCATCTTTATCTATACTCATATGGGAAGACTCCTGTCTGAGGACTCCTTTTGGGAGGAGTGAATAGGAGGACTTGGCGCTTTAAAAATGTAATTTTGTTGTTGTTGCAGCGGCTTAGCTTCGTCTGTGTTCTTTATTTTGTTCCCGCTGCCGCTTGGCTACGTGCATGTTCTGTGACGCAGGATGCCACAGTGCCACGGTCACCAGGTGTAACTACAGTGTGTACATACATACGTAGGTGCTCTGTGACGCACGATGCCACAGCGCCACTTTGACTCGGCGGCCACCAGGTATAACTCCAGCGAAAAACGCAAAACGGAAAATAACTCATGAACGATAGGAGATACCTGAAAACAAATATGCCCATGTCATTCGCAGGTGCAAGACCGTTGGGAATGGGAGCCAAGTGGTGTAGGGAGGGGAAACCATAGTCAAAATAGTTTGTTTTGAGACATGCCTTGAAAGAGGAGAGGGAGTGAGGCTAAGGGACTCTGAGGTGGAGTTTCAGAGATTGGGAGCAGAATCACTGATGGTGGGGCAAATAATGTAGGGAACATTAAGAGACTGGTGGTCACCGAGCAAAAGGAGCAGCTGGGTCGGTAGAGTTGAAAGAGGTCGCAGTGGTAGGGAGGGACGAGACTATGGAGGATTCTAAAGGTGAGAACTTGATCCATTAGGGGACGGAGAGCTGTTCAGGGTAGAATCTGAATCACCATTACGTTTAGAGCCATACCACGATAGGAAGAGTGATAGACAATGACTAGTCCTTAGGCTTGAAAGTGGAGATGAAAAGGCATTTCTCGATGGGCGAAATACCTTTTTCTTGTTCTTCTTTTATGGTCAACAAAATAGAACTTTTTCATATTGCATAACCTGCATATTTATTATTATTATGATTATTATGATGATGATCTGTTTAATTGCCTAAATCACACAATAACACAATCCTGAGCCAATAATCAAGAAAGCGGTACATTATTTTTGAGATAATTTAGTATATAACTAAGGCTTGCATTTTTGCTAAAGGAGCTGTCTCATCATTATGGTCCAGTCCAAACAAGGCTTCATCTAGTGACAGAATAAATGGAAACAACAACAACAACTTACATTTATATAGCGCCCTTCACAACGGGCACTGTCTTGTAGCATTTAAACACTGGATATGTAAAACACTATAACTGGTGCAAACTTGGGTCTTCAGTTTCCAAAGACTGAAAAAGACATGAATAGAAGCAAGTTAGTTATCATGAAAGGAAAGTAGTATTTGTATGAAGTCGTAGAGGTAGGGAGGGGTGATGCCGAGGAAGAATTTAAAGATGAGAACAACTATCTTGAACTCAATCCGCTGAGGGATGGGAAACTATAGCCACTTACCAGCTGGTCCATATCTGAGCTGATCATATACCCTTCAATTGGTAAATCTCCACAACACAGATCCCAAAATGTGTGTCCCCTCCTCATTGCCACACACAAACATGAGTACAAACAAGTGAATGAATTGTAAAATATGCTACTTAAGTGTTAAAGCAATGTCTATCAATGAGGACATAATGGAGTCAATCAAATTCTATTTAAGGGAGTCTTAGCCTGACAGCCTGACAGTGGAGTCCTGTAGCTCAGTGGTTAGAGCACTCGCTTTGCAAGTGAGAGACCTGGGTTCAATTCCAGGCAGAGGGCGAAACCTTGGGCAAGTTTCCTTACTCCACACAGAGCCTAATAATAATCCCTCCAAAACAAAACAATAATAAATTGGTCATTTTCAATCTACGACTGTTTGTGGGACATTGCTGTGCGCAATTGGCTGCCGCGTTCGCCCACAAATATACAGTCAATTCACTTTACAGTCTATTCTGTGAAGCGCTTTGGGACGTCCTCCCGACGTGAAAAGCGCTATATCAAATGCAAGGATTATTATTATTATTATTATTATAGTGGTCAGCCTGACAGTAAAACCATGCTTTTACATCCATAGTGGAGGAAAATGCACCAATTTTAATCTTGAAAAGGGATTTGGATAGCAAAGTGAATTAGACAGAATTAATAGACATTTTCTCATTTCTGCATTGCTTTGCTTATTCCATTTGAATTAATATTCATGATATTCTTGTGATGATTGTCACTTGTGAGTAACAAGGTCTCCCTCAGTCATAGAATAAACAAGGCAATTCCCAGTTCTACAATGTGAACCCGCAGTTAATATATTGTTCAACCATCGAGGTAATTATGGCTGGTAGACTTCATTACTGCCTAGAATGGAATGGAGAGTTCAAAGCTTTTTTAGACTTTAATGTCAGAAATTATGAAGTAATAATAATAATAATCCTTGCATTTGATATAGCACTTTTCACATCTTCTAGACGTCTCAAAGCCCTTCACAGAATATACTGTAAAGTGAATTGACTGTGTATTTGTGGGCGAAACGCGGTAGCCAATTGCGCACAGCAGTGTCCCACAAACAGTCGTGGATTTATTAATTTATTAATGTTAAGCAAGTTGCACTGAATGTAGATTCGGGATACATACACAAGCAGAGTTATGCAATTGGACCATAATACCACAGAGCAGATAGTACAACAATTAGCATTTCTATAGAATCCTTCACCCAGAGCAGCATCTTGTTCACAGTAACCCTGTGAGTACTGATATCCTCAGTCAGTGTAGAGCACCCTTTTATCATAAAGCCTTTGCAGAACTGTGTCAATGAGATAATAACAAGAAAAATAATCCAATAACAAGAAAATTAATCCAATAACAAGAAAAAGAATCCATGTGTGTAAAACATGATGAACTAAAATTATCCAACATAGCAGTTGCCAACTTCTCTTCTTATTGTGACATGTAACTAGTATTGTTTGTTTAGTTATTTTCCATGTTACAGTAGTTCTTAATTGCTAAAAAAAGGTACTTATTTTCAGATAATTAAATTTAAGGATTCTTATAATTTTATATAATTTATTTTCACAACACAACTGTATTGTCAGGTGGCAAGTAAAGGGAAGTGCAGCTACCTTATTATCTTAAAGTTTAATATTTTGAGTGGTGCGGCTCTAATATCTGACATATCTAGAAAATAAAGAACAGCATCTGTATCAATGTGACAGGGTGTGAAAACAACTTTGGGCTAAATATTCTTGTGCATGAATAGTCAGGAGAGCCTACTAATAAGTGATGCAACTGTACCACAAAACCATAGAAATTTATGGCACAGAAGGCCATTCGGTCCATCGTGTCTATGCCAGTTCCCTCAACAGCAACCCTTTCAGTCCCACTTACCTACCCTTTCCCTATTCCCCTTGTATCTGATTCTTGAAAGGGTTGTTTTGCAAAGTTTTGAGTTAAGGCACATTATATTTCCAGTGTGATGGGAATTACAACATATTCCTTATTGTATCTAGGCTATTCCTGAAGTGGGAGTTTTGATGCTGAAACTAGGCATTCATAAAGGATTCATAGATAGTGCAGCTCAGAAAAAGGCCATTTGACCCATCCAGTCTGGCTGGGGTTTATACTCCATGCAAGTGCCTATCCTAGATCCTAGACCTAGTCCCATATCCTGGCTTTCTCCCATATTCCTCAACTTTATTCTTTTAACCATGTGTCCAGTCTTTTTCTGAATGTGGATATGGTTGCTACCCCAAGACCTGAATGTGTCAGAGAATTCCACATTCCTACCATTGATCTAACACAGCATTCACCGAAAATTTGGGAAGATGATGGGGGGAAAAACACCTGGATATGTGCAATGCTCATGTTGATCTGATTTTCATTTGCCAGGAATCTATATGTACTATTGTATAAAGTAAGCCAGTATAGCGTTCTTTTGGTAAATGTATAATAAGTTATATTTTCAGAGGAGCCTACAAAGATCGCCAGTGATTATTAAAAAATTTAATTATTCTCACTAAATGTAAAGATGTATCTCAGCATTTTTTTATCGTAGTTATCTAAATAATACTGAAGGGATAATATTGTTAGTGTTCTTTATTGGTAATATTGACTCTTTAATAAGCCAAGAAAGTGCTTTATGGTCTAGGCAAGTTTTACAGCTGCACTTTCCTTGAATTTATATGACAAAAAGTCATTTATCCAGTCTCTGTGAAATAATATTGTATTGGTTGTTCGTCTGCTAATCACACAGGTGAAAAGACGCTGCAGTTTGGTATTTCAGAGCTTCAATATGACGCTAATTCAAATTATGAAAAGGAGAGTGAGATGATGCAGACTCATGTTATGGACCAAGCAATTAACAATGCTATCAATTATCTAGGGGCCGAGTCTTTGCGTCCACTTGTCCAAACTCCTGCTGGAAGCTCTGAAGTGGTACCTGTTATAAGCACCATGTACCCCATCCACAAAAGCCATTCAGATGCCCACAGTCGCGCTAACAGTGCAGCAAGCCAAGAAGGTGGAGTTGAAAATGTGATCCTGTATTCAAAAACAAAATCACAGTCATCCGAAAGAGAAGCATCTCCTAGCAACAGCTGCCCAGACTCCACAGACACAGAGAGCAATAATGAAGAACGGAATAACCTTATTTACCTAACAAACCACGTAACACAGGCAAGAAATGGCTTGTCTTTAGTGAAAGAAGACCACAGATCTTATGACATTATGAAAGCAGGCATGGAACCTGCTCAAGAAATCTTCAAAGTGATCAGTGGCGACGGAGAACATGTTAAGACTTACAAATGTGATCACTGCAGAGTACTTTTCCTGGATCATGTGATGTTTACAATACACATGGGGTGTCATGGATTCCGTGATCCCTTTGAATGCAACATGTGTGGGTACCGCAGCCAGGACAGGTATGAATTCTCTTCACACATAACTAGAGGAGAGCATCGTTTTCACATGATATAGTGAACAATTTCAATCCAACATTTAAACTTTTGTTCCACCGTTTAGTGTGGTCGTTTCCAAGTTGCCTGAAAGGCAAGAAGCTATTGGATAGAAACTCTTCAATTTTTTTAAAATTTCATTTACATCTCTGATCTGACTATTGTAAAGTGCAAACGCAATTAATGCTGGAAATAATGCTGGAAAATATCACTATACCTCCCAGAAATATTAACTCTGAAAGAAGGTACTTTGAGATTGTATTTAATCATATGGCACTTAAATTATTTGCTTAATATTCATGATCATTTGGAAATGTATATGTGACCAGTTCAGTTCAAACCTCAGATCGGTAGGTTGTTAAGTGCTTGTGTTTTGAATTACTGTAGTTTGCAATATGGGGTATTAGAGTTTCTAACAATATAGAGCTTTTAAGTCTAGAATATTTTATAGATAATATTGATAGAGGTGTTATTAGTGTTGTAAGTTGTAGGAATAGGCACAAGAAAGTTTGTTAAGAGAATCTATTTGTACGTGATCACCAGCTGAATATTAAAGAAAAACAAAAGAAAATACAATCAGCAGTAAAATCCGTTAAAAGTCAATAGTGTCTGTATTATATCTTGAAATCCATATTTTACTGGGAACTTGTGCCTAATTATTTTGGCTAGATTATGGAAAAACATAAAATTTCATTTGTGGCATAAATGTATAGCTATTTACTCGTGTAAATCCACATTGCAGACACAATAAAGTTTAGTTTATTTATTTCAGTGTTACATTTTAAGTTAGACTGATAACCTCCAAGTCCTGAATGAAGTATATTGAGTGGATATGTGTTTCTTTAATTCATATGCCTTTTGACTGGTACAGTCGTATGGGTAGTAGAGTGGTGGCACAGTATACTGGGCATCTAAAATCAGGAAACTAAAATCTAAAAACTAAAGTCAACAAATATCATACAGCCCCAGTGGCCATTATCTATAGTTAACTGTGAATCGCTTTGAGACATCTCGATGACGTGATAAAGTGCTTTATCAAATGCAAAGGATTATATTATTAACTTAATTTTAATTTTTGAGATTGCTCTCAAATGCTCCAGCAACCCTGTGCTTCCACCCCACCCACTATATTTTAAAGCTTTACTGTCCAAAGCATTTTGTTACATAAAGACATTATTTGTCTTGTAGAAAATGAATGATATAAGTTATGAGTTTCAAAATGATAAGCCACCCTCAGCCAGTTATACTGAAGTTCTGTGCATGTTTTGTATCACACCTGTTGACCAGAAAACTGTTAAAGTGTCTAATTAAGTTGTTAAACTTCTTGAGCAACTTTCACAATTATCCAAATACAAGGCTCAGTTTTATCACTTTTGACAAGGTTTTTGCAAGATTATAAACTGGTATTCTGAATGCAGTGTATCAAGAATTTTATGTTCAGGAGTGTCTTAAATTTTATAAGATTTTTCAATACTTTACAATGCATTAGAAAAGAGAAATACCAATTTTAACTCAGCAAAATTACACAGGGAAAGAAAAGCTGAGAAACTTCTGCTTGCGTTCAGTTTGCATGTACTGTTTTAGAGAAGATCAGAGATTTCTGATATTCAAAAGCCTTTGAGGTATTTTGGTACAAAGAGCAGATACAACTTTATGTTCACATTTTACAAGTTGTAATATCTTCATGCTAATGCAGTTTATTAGTCACTGTTATCAGCTCAGATTTTTAACAAAAGATTCAGTATGTTCAGTATATTTCTGCTAGAACTTATACTATATTGGTTGCCTTCTTGATCTCTGGAAAAGTTATGATAATATGCTTGCAGTTGCCAAAAGAAGTATTAAAATTGAAAAAAAACTCTTTAAATGTCTATATTCTGTCAAAAGTACTATGATACCTTATGAAAACTTGCAGTTATATTTTTATGTGAGTGTTAGAGTTATGTTACATTAGAATATGTGGGAGCAGATTCACAGTGTTTCTAAATGTTTAGTGTATTATAAACCACACATAATAATCCAAACTAATTACAGACTCAACAGAGAATGGGATTACAGTGTAGTAGCATCACCACAAATTGGGAACCGATCCTATTGGGGATATGAAAACAGTGAAGATAATGGGTCATCTCGAAAATAGCTATTGACTACAGTACTATCCATAAACTTCTTCCATCAGGAGTTATACTATCACTATCATTCTATCTCTCTCTTGCTGTCTTTTTCTCTGAATCTTTCGCAGATTATCTCTCTCTCCCTCTGTATCTGTTTCTCCATTATTCCCTCTACCCCACCCTTCCCACATCCTCGGGTCCTGAAACCCTGGTCCATGCCTTTGTCACCTCTCGGCTGGACTACTCTAATGCCCTCATCGCCGGTCTCCCATCCACTATCATCCATAAAATCCAAATCATTCAAAACTCTGCTGTCCACATTCTCACCCGCACCAAACTCCGCTCCCCGATCACCCCAGTCCTTGCCAGACTGCACTGGCTGCCTATCCCAGAGAGGATTGATTTCAAGATCCTCACCCTTGTATTCAAGTCCCTGCACTCCTCTGCACCCCCCTACCTCCGGGTCTGGCCTCCTCCTCGTCCCCCGAGTCCTCCGCTCCACCCTCAGTGGCCGTGCCTTCAGCAACTATGCCCCGGGGCTCTGGAACTGTCTTCCTCACTCCCTTCGTCTCGCTCCCTCCCTTCCCATTTTCAGGTCTCTGCTGAAAACTTTTCTTTTCCACACACCTTTGGTCCCTTTCCTCCCCCTCCCCCCGGCTTGGTCCCGGGATCCATTACTGTAAAGCGCTCTGATACGTCGTCAGGCGTGGAGAGCACTATATAAATCCAAGTTGTTGCTGTCCTGAGCCCTGACTGTCCAGCGCCGTGGGAACATCCTCCCAACGTGAAAGGCACTCTGGAAATGTAATGTTGTTGTTGTTGTTGTCACTCTTTATAACCTCACACAACTTTACCAGTAATAAATTGCTGAATGACTCACTTACATTTCAGTGCATGGGTAATCGCATTCCTGGACCTCTGGGCAGATACATGCAAATAAAAATATTTAGTCAACATCAGAACTTTCACATTGAAGCCCAAAATGGAGAGTCAGCGTGTGAATATGCCACTGTTTAATTCCACTGTAGATAGTTCCAGTGGAGGAGCTAGCAATGCACAGGTATTATGTTCTGAATGTCTTTCTTCAGTTATGATATTTCCGTGATTCTACTGTACATCATAAGTACTGATCCAGGAACCTGCACTGAATCTATCATTGCAATTTTGGAGCAAGCAAGAGATCCACTGCCAGACTATTGCAACTCTAAACTAAAGTTTGTAAGTCTCATGTTGATGTCTATATAAACAAATATATATTTTATTGAGAAATTACATGAAGACTTATGGATAAGTTTGTTATTTTTAGCAATCAGTGAATGAATCATACTGTTGCATAGTTTCATAGTTATTCCTTTCAAAATTTCCATTTCTATGAGGTAAGAAGAGAAATTGCTCAATTTGCTCTCACAACACTTGTTGTCTATCTCACATATGAAAAACAGTATCCATGAAACAAGGTGCTTTCGGGGAGAAATTGGTAGAAGGGGAAATTGCCTAAGTTTTAAAAGAACTTTTCATTTCAATTCATTGTCACTTTTAAAATGTGTTGAAAATATATTTTTAAACTGGCTGTGAAATTCCCTGACATGCTAGTTTCAACATTAAAGCTGTGTTTAAGAATTTACCGAATGCTAGACATCTAAAATGCTGCATAAAAGGGTAAATTTAGACCCAGGTGAAATTTCTCTCTGAAGTGTTACCACTGAACAGGATTAGTGCTACTATGTCTGATGCTATTGCTCTTTAGTACCATGAGGATGTGTTTCCTTCAGAAAAGACACCAAAGCTACTCACAACTGAATTGTTCATCCATCATCCTAACTGTGCTCCAGAAGTTTCTTAAATGAACCCTGACCTCAACCAAGCCTTCTTGTTAACCCAGCTATTGACTACCCTCTGTGCAAAGAAATACATGTGCTTCCTAGTGTCTGCAGTAACCTTGCCCTTCACAGTAATGGACCTATATTCTCTTGTCCGACTGCTTTAATGTGTCTAAAGGTATAGGATAACCTTTCCTATCCTATTCAGTTTATGTGTGTGTGTGCGTGTGTGTGTGTCTGTTGGTCTGTCTGTGTGTCTCTGTGTCTGTGAGCAAGTGCACAAATGTGAGCGTGTGAGAGAGTGCATGTCTCAGTGTGAGCGAGTATGAGGGTTCAAGAATGAGTGAGTGAGTGTGTGAAGTCCCACAACTAGGGCTGGGATCTGGGACTATCTTTTCCAAGGATAATAATTCCTTGAAAAAAATAATTTAGTCACTCAACCCACAACTATTTGTGGGAGACTGCTGTGTGCAATTGGCTGCCACGTTTCGCCCACAAAATATACAGTCACTGCACTTTACAATATATTCTGTGAATCGCTTTGAGATGTCTTGGAGACGTGATAAAGCGCTTTATCAAATGCAAGGATTATTATTGTTATATTTGTACACACAGTTTGCCTTGTGATTTTGCAAACTACTGCTGGTAAAATGGAATAATGTTTCAATGTGCCACATTACAACTGCTGGACAGTGGGCTGTCTTGTGACAACTATGCAATTTCCTTGTTTCCATTGTATCTTATGATGCAGCCTGCGATTGAATACTCCGATTAAGATGAAGGAGTCCAATTGAAAAGCATAAAATATTAATTTTAACAGCAACTTTTACCAAATGCAAGATTAATGTCTCCACTTAAAATAAGACAAACATTAATCAAAGAGGCACACTTGAAATGTAATACAATAATTTTAGAAATAGTGTTCCTCAGAAATAGTTGTGTTGCACAGTCAACCAAAATGCAAAAAAATTGCCACATATATTTTGGATTTCCAAACTTACAGAAGTAATATTTGTGAGAAGGTAAGTACAGTAATAATAACTTTGTATGATATTCAAGAAAGATTAGATAAGCATATTCATTTTATTACCAGAGAAACTGATTATTTTTGATGACCCTGAAAGGTACGGACTGGAGTGAATGCAAAATATTATGGGTGCTATTTGACTTAACTACAATTTACTTTCATAGACTTGAGAAGTCGGATTGAAGTAAGGGTAGGGCGAAACTTAAGACAAGTTTCCTTACTCCACAAGCTTCTGTTTACCTAGCAGTAAGTAGGAACCTGGTTGTTAGTCGATTGGCGGATCACTTTCTGGGGGTTAGAATCACTTTTAAAAAATTAATAATTTGTTCACTTAATCCACGACACTGCTGGAACACTGCAATTGGCTGCCATGTTTCACCCACAAAAATATACAGTCAGTTAATTTTACAGTATATTCTGTGAAGTACTTTGGGACATCGTGACGACATGATAAGAGGCTAAATCAAATCATAGAATAATAGAATTATACAACACAGAAGAAGGCCATTCGGCCCATCGTATCTGTGCTGGCTCTTTGAAAAGAGCTATCCAAATCAATCCCACTCCCCTGCTCTCTCCCCATAGAGAGACCTGAGTTCAATTCCAGGCAGGGCGAAACCTTGGGCAAGTTTTCTTATTCCACACACCTAATAATAATCCCTCCAAAACCAAAAACAATAATAAATTGGTAATTTTCAATCTACGACTGCTTGTGGGACATTGCTGTGCGCAATTGGCTGCCGCATTCGCCCACAAATATACAGTCAATTCATTTTACAGTGTGTTCTGTGAAGCGCTTTGGGACGTCCTCCCGACGTGAAAAGCGCTATATCAAATGCAAGGATTATTATTATTATTATAGCCCTGCAAACTTGTCCTCCCCAAACAATTATCTACTCTTAAAAGTTGTTATCGAATCGGCCTCCACCACCAGCTTTCAGGCAATGCATTCCAATGCAAGGATTATTATTATAAGGGTAAGATTTCTTACTGCTGCACAGTGGCCAGAGTGGTCCTGGTTCTCTTTCATAAGAGGCTGTTACATGGCTCATATTGAGTTATTTTACTCCAGTCACTAATTGATAGAGGGGTCTTTGGGCTGATGAAGTAAATTTTGGAGCAAAAGATAGAAGATATAATGCTGCCGTGCACAAAGCTCCTAAAGTACATTAAACAGAATGAAAACAGAACATGTTCATGCTGACATGAAGTGCAAGTGCCAACTTCCCTCAAAATTCAGACTTGAGCTGTTGGATGGATTCACTGGGAGGAAGGGAAATCAGTCACCTTGGATTCATGCAGCTGCACTATCCACTGCCATGAGAAATGTGAGGTGATTTTGGTAAAGGATCCAAATAGTTTCAGGTAGCTTTGATGCCGTTTTTATTATCTATCTCAGATCTCAAGCGATCTTGCGTAAGCAGACTATTTTTGAATCTCACTTTATGAATCCATCATCAAGGACACAGTTTCTGAGCATCTGGATAAGTAATAATAATCCTTGCATTTGGTATAGTCTCTTTCATGTTGGGAGGGTTTCCCAAAATGCTTTAATGTCCATCTGAACAGGCAAACAGGCCTTCAGTTTAATGTGTCATCCAACGGTACCTCCAACAATGCAGCACACCCCAAAGCTGCATTGGGAGTGTCAGCGATTTCAATTCCCGACATGGGGCTTGAACCCACAACCTTCTGACTCAAGGCCAAGATTATCAGCAAGGTTTTGTAAAAAGATAAAGAGATCTTTAACAGAACTAGAGATGATAGATAAAGGGTGGTGGATGGATGCCATTTACAAGAATTTTCAAAGGAACTTGATATGGTGCCACATGAGAGATTTTTACCCAAATTTAAGATGCATTAGATCAAAAAAATCAGGATGTTTAATAAAGAGGTAGGA